TGGGAAGAACTAGAACATAGATTTTGAGCCAGGCCCTCGTGTCCAGCATCAGTGTCTGACCTCACAAATGCTCTTCTGGATGAACGGGTAAAAATTCCGACCGAGAAACTCTAAAATCTTGTAGAAAGCCTTCCCAGAAGAGTGAAAGCTTTTGTAGGGGGGACCAACTCCATATTAGATATAGATCTTCCAACATGACATCCAACTCTGTCTAAAGCCAAAGGGGTTTATATGTGTATTGCACCTGCTGTTATAGTCTCCTCCTTGTTGAATGCCACTGGTTCCCCAATTTATTTCTCATGTTTTTGTAGTCGTGATATGAAAAATTGTACCAATGTGTGTAACTACATACAATTTTCGACAGTCTCTCCTCAAAGCCCCTCATAGTGTTCCACTCAGCTGTACATGAAAAGTGACAGAATAATGAAAACAGAGATATGAGTTCAAACAATGCCTACCTGCACACCTTTGAACACCTGGCCAATCACTGTGTAAAGTGTGCATGATTGTCAGATTGTAGGATTTACATAAATTGTGGGATGCATTGTTTATGTCTCTCTTTAACTGTATGTCCTTTGTTCTCTGATAATTAGACACAAAAGGATAGTAAACAAAATGAACAAACTAACACTAATGTTGTATACATTTAAACTACGAGATGCTGGTGATGTTGGTCATCTTCTAGGTGTGCAAACTTCCCTTTGAAAAGCTGCTGAAACCGCCATCTTCTCTTTACTAAACATCTCCATGGCTACAGACATTACTCATGGCTTTTAACAGATTAGCTGAGAAAATTATCCCTAATTACTTGGTCATGCACAGAGTGCTCGCTTTGCTCCTCACTGCTGGAATATGAATAACATACACCGAGATTCAATCTCATGAGAATGCCAAACAGTAACATGAAAGATAAAAAAAAATGTACTCACTTTGTATTTCAATAGAGAGGTTGTGCCTTATTAATTAGATTCTATTAAGATTAATCAAAGAGTTATAAGAAGCAGCATTTAGCAGAAATCTGATGCTGTTTTTAGCACATGGACACTGTCCTCAGCTTTCAGCCAAGATGCCACTTGGTGTGAAGGTAGTCTCAATCCCCCAGCATGCCTGCATGAGGAGCTGCTGTGCTTCACCTGTTTCTAACACGACAAAGGCCAGAATGACATCACTAGCTTCTGCTTGTTAAGTGTGTTATTCTAATAAAATGAGTGATTTACAATTATTCTGGTAGCGTAGCAACAGCAGCAGCTATTGACAGACAGCTGGCGTCAGTTGTCTGATAAACACTCAGACAACTGCGCTCTGATTGCATGCGTGTAGGTATGAATGCGTGTGTGTCACTTCCTGTTTCTGTCTGATAATTTAGGATCCTATTTATAAACCACTGATTAGCATAACATTGAGCAGCCGTTCCGCCCGCACTTTCCTGTGAGAGAGTGTGTATGTGTGTGATGATGCATCCTGTGTATGTATATATTCTGACTTTTTTTTTTTATTCTTTGCTGTTGCTATCTGAAAATGTGATAATTTTGAGTGTCTAATTTCCATTTCATGTTTTTATCTTCTCTCAGTGCTACACCGTTTCCTATAAATACAAAATTCAAGTAGATAATTATCACTTTTTGAAAACACATCAAGTTCCTCAGACATATGCATGAAAAAGAAAGCTTAAATTAAACACTACGTATATAAAATGAACACAAATCCTTTTCAGGCTTATGTATTAATAATGAAAATTCCACAAAGACCTTTTTGTTTGTCTGTTCAGTCTGGGAAATTGTCGATTATACTGTAGTTCTGGTTTGGGTCACAAGCATACAGTCTGTGGCGACAAGTTTAAATTTCTAAGACTGGATTTGGCACGCTTGTTGGTGTCATTAACGTTATCAGTCAATGTCAGCAGTCTAATGGGATTTGTTTCCTAAGATGTTATAGTTACACACAAAACTGTCCTTTGTCATATTACAGTTATGTCAAATTACAATATGTACAATACTTTACACTGTGTTACAACACATGTAAAAAGTAAAACAGCAGAATGCAAAATGTGTCAAAACAAACAAAAAAAGAGTAAAACAGCAGAATGCAAAATGTGTAAGAAGAATTTTTTGAGGGCCGAATCAGTGCTGGAAGTGTTAATATCACACATCTAATTAAATACTTGCAGATGCATAAGGACAAAGTTGGACTGTACAAGCCAGAAGTACTAGTCAGCATGGGGATCACGTGTGCCCTATGTCATTAGTAAGTCTGACAGCACTCTGGATAGACTGAATTCAGCTTTGGAAAAAAGCGGTGCTCCACATGGAGAAATCTATTATGGCAGCAATGGAGATGTTAAATCAATGGCAAATTAAAAAGAGTAAGGTAGATTTAATTCTATGAGACAATGTCAGGAACATGCAAACTGACGTTTGATCGGCTTATTAACTGCTAAGTATAATATCAGATTCGTATCTGTATTGGCAGATACTCAATAATGTGGAATTGGTTTTAGAAATGGAGAAGTGGTAGGGAGCCATCTGTAATTTCCTCTGTACTAAAATCAAACAGACATTCATCTTCGCTCTCACAGCTGTTCAGACAGGGTGGTGTATTTTAATGTGTGCTGGTTGCTTTTTGTTTTGTCTTTTGTTTGTTGTCAAAATTCATTACATTTTCACCTGTATGTGAATCATTTTGTTAAAAAATAATTTTGTCATTTATTGTACCCTGTCAAGTGGGAATGGGAGAGGGGGTCACACTTTAAGAGACCGGAGTTTTATGTCTTTCTGCACACCAAGAGTGGAGACATTATTTCTTTAGAGATGAGATAAAACATTTTTATAGAGTCTCTTGTCAGCACTGCAGTAACAGCTGTGGAGAAAAAACAAGTTCAGAGAAAGGACTTTATAAATGTGAATATGTTCTACCTGAATTAAAAAGTTATTAAAATCAAATGGGTGAACATCCACCTCTGAAACTCTCTATGTTTCTAAATAATCAGCCTTTGGGACACACTAATATTTCATACACACACAGATAATAAACTGAAGAAGTGGGATTTGAAGGTTTATTTCTAGCAATGAACTAGTGCTGAAACAATTAGTCGATTGATCGATTTCTTGATTAATAAAAAGTTAGGAAGCAACATTTTTTTATAGTTAATCATTTCAGGGTTTTTTTCAAGCAATTGTGGGACAATATAATCGCTAATAAAAATAGCCCTACACTGAATCTCGATGTTGTCAACACAAAAACACCAGAGTCTGCTGGATAACTGGACCATACCACATAGTCTTTTTGACAAATCATGTTTTTTGTCTCAGTTTGGAATGCTGGCACTATATGAATCCTACAGTACTCGTGAGCCTCGGAGGCTTTCACTATATAGAAAATGTCAGCCAAAGGTCTCCTATTTTCAAAAAGCATCTGGACCATTGATGCAGTCAAAGACACCTTGAGCAGCAGGACTTCAGCTAGCCATCAGCAGCACAGCAAGTGTTCAGCTTAATAACTGGTTGTTTTTTACATCAACATTCTCAGGGACACATACTTGACTTCTCTCCGACAGTTGTTGTAACTTCGGCCAGAACAAAATCAGTATCCCCCCCCTTTTTTTGTGTCTCATTGTTTGCACTGATGAGTCAACCAGCAGATTTCCACGTCCATCTCCTGGAAATGTTCCAGCTGACAGTCATCTAATATTATGGGAAAAATGAAGACAAGGAGATCACACACGTAACTCTATACAACACACACAATGTCTCACAGAGCGTGTGTGTGTTCGATTTAATAAACTACCTTTGTAGGATTGTTCATAATAAAGTTATTGAACTGGATTACAGTGACGGAGAGAGATTCAGGGTGTGCCTCCATACAGCTCTATGTGTGTGTGATGTATCAAACATGTTTCCAGTGTATCACAAGTTTCCTAAACTGACTATTTTCCTATTGGGGTCATTTTACCCTCTTTCTCTCTCTCGCCATTACACACACACACACGAACACACACACACAGAAGAAGTCATATTCGCTTATTAACTCTATCTGTCAATGATTTCCATGATTAATCACTTATTCTTTGGTCTTCAAAATGGCAGAAAGCTGTGGAAATGCCCATCACAAGTTCTCAGAGTGTAAGGTGACATGTTTTGTGTGACCAACTCAGAGAGAGAGAGATTTAATTTATAATCATATAACAAAGAAAAGTCTCCCATTTGGGTAGCTAGAACCAGAAAGGTCCAGTGTGACTGACCAGGAAATTAATCAAGGATGATCTATGAAAAGACTTGCCAGCTGCAGCTGTGTGTTTAGCCATTATGCTCTGGTAGCAGTGTCACACACACATAAACACACACGCACACGTAACCAAAACGCACATACATAAAATCTGCATCATTACATTCTGCCCACAAACACTTTCTCTCTCACCTTCTGACCATTTTAGATCAGTTTACACAGAATGAGCGCTTGATTTTCTAAATGTATTAGTGTAAGACACAAACACACACAGATACTGTGACTCAAACACGCGCGCGCGCACACACACACACACACAGCCACACAGCCTGCTTATTAAAAGGTCTCACAGTTCTACATAAATCTCAATTTAGTCTCATACAGAACAGACTTCCTGAGATTTCCAGGAGCTGATCTGATGTCATTCCTCCATGATTCCTCTTTCTTTCTTTCGAGACCATCAGCATCAGACACATGAGCTCACAGTATTGCACACACATATGCACAAGCGCGCACAAACACACACAAACACAATTACACTGTAAATGCATGTAAACCATCAAAAAGCCAATTTCCCATGATTTTAAGCTGAATTTGAACGATTCCCTGTTTGATCCCCATCTGGCTGTGCCTGTGTGACAGCACGGAGCAGATTTTGATATTCTGCAGATTTCTGCTGATGTTCACTTGGTTTCATGTGCTTGTTCAGTTGGTGACATTCGCCACAGTTATGATGCTTTTGTGGCAGATTTTGCTGATTTGTAGCCGGGTCTTCCTACCTGTTTTGTAGAAGGCATCAGTGTCGGGGTCGCTGGGCGCCTCCTCGGCCGCTTCTGCAGGGTTCATACCAGAATCCGGTTCAATACAATCCACCGACAAAGAAAGAGAGAAATCAAGCCCTCCGGTCCGGAAAAAATCCTCCCGTCTTTATTCCTCACATGTTCTCCGTTTATCTCTCTCTTCCTCCAGCTCCCTCGCTAGGTTTCTTTCTTTCTGTCGCCCTCTCGGTTTGTTTGGTGTTTCAGGGCTGGCTTCGTTTCTCTCTATTGTTCCCGGTCCAACCTCCCTCTCTGCTGCTGTCCGCCAGGGTCTCTCTGCTTCCCTCCCTCCCTCTCTCCGCCCGTACCTCCCCTCCCTCTGTCTCCCTCAGTCTCTCTATCTCAATTCAATACATTGACCTTTATTGGCAAGACATAATGTGTGTGCCGTTAAAGCATTTATAAATTATTGTCAAACAGATATAACAGCAACGTATTTATTATTATTATTAATATTACTATCCTTATTTTAATTTAATCCAAAAAAAAAAGTCCTCTTTGGAGTGTGGGTGTGTGCTGTGGGTTTCACAGCAGTGTGCTCATTTGTTTTGAAAAGATCTTGTGTGCCAACTTGACATTTTGTCCTGATGTTGGAGCTGAAAGAAATCAATTTTACTTTCCAAATGATGAGAGTGCATCCTCTGGGGAGCATAACCTTGTGCTCATTATTCTTGTGTACAATTTATAATGCTGTCTCCAGTTCCTACGTGTTCCTGCATTGTCTGTGTTGTCTGCAACTAAGTGTTTCATCCTCTCTTGCCATCTCTTCTACCAGTATGTGAGTTGTATCCATGAGATAAGTAGGCCTACTATACTGTGCAGGTGCTTACAAGGAAGGGTCACCAAAAACATTATGAATCATTCTCTCGGGACCACAAACAGCCACATACAACATTTCTCTGCTAACTGTAGCTGCTGTTCTGTGTGTTGTTTTACTCACATAAGTCCAAAGTCAAACAGGTGATTTTATATGAAGATCACTCACTTCAGCAAAACAACAAGAAGCTTTAATGATGACACTAATATTGGAGAAAATGATTCTGCTGCCTTGGGGATGATACTATGCCAAGAGTCTTTGGACGTGATTCATCCACTTGCATCAGAAAAGCAGAACCGAAAAGGTTACTATCTAAATTGTAACCTTGCTGGATTATCACTTGCTGGAATGTATGTTTGCTCCATTAAGGTCCAGTTTTCTGGTTTGAAGGTAGAGCAGAAGCTTTTCCTGCACATTCATTAAAGCAAAACATCACTACAGTCAGCATGTATCGAGGTGATAAGAACAATGCTGGACCATGATGAAGAGTAGTATACACTTCACACAATGTACTAACTATGTACACTACATTTTCTATGGTCTTTAAGCCTAAATAATCAATATACTGCATATTATCAGTGAATCAAATGACTACACCTGAGAAGGGGTTTCCTACAATGACAAACCAATAGAGAATTATCACCAAAGTCTGCAGTTCTATTGTGCTTCTAGCAAATTGTTTTGGTTTTATAGTACATTCACTATTTTGTTCAACACTCATTCACTCTGCTCTGGGGGAGCAACAAGCTGTTATCAGAAAAGCTTTAATAAATCGTCTTAATGCTACCTTATCAGCAGACAAACGAAGGAATTAGTAAAGACCAAACCAGAGATAAAAGGAGAGTGAATATCAGTGTACGTTTGTGAGGTGGCTATAAACAAAAATCTCCCTAAAAAAAGGAGGAATGGCCACAAATAGAGAGTGTTGTGGTCATTTTTTATTTTATTTTTTTTTTTTACAGCAAAGCCATATGTAATCTCTCGGTAGCCATAAACCAGAGTCAATGAAGGCCCAGCAGGAAAGTCAACCTTGAGGGCAAATAGTGACGTCTTCAGTTATTTTCCTTAGGTTTTGTTAATTCAGGGGAGTTTTAAATCACAACAACTAATGAACAAGCCATCCAACTCCTTTCACTTACCTCTTCTATGATTTCATTAAGTTAATTTATGTATGGCAAATGAAGTATTTGACAAAAAGCCGTTCCTGTTCCTCTCCTAAGCTTTACTCTTGAGTACCAACCAGGAAGAGGTCAGCTGTGTGTTGGCCTTTGTCCAGAGGTTACCATGTTCAACATGTCTGTTTCACTCCCTTAGACCTTTCTCTTCTGGTTTTCCTTCCAGTGTAAGATTCTCCTCCTCTCACTGAACACACCACCTTGGGTATCAGCGGCTATGTGCAAGCTGCTCCCTCTCCAGTGTCTTCATCCTCTCACTGTGTGCTACTGCCACCTAGTGGGGAATATTGCACAAAACAGATATGTCTAAGTTGTGTAATGTTTTTTCGTCATAAGATTTTTTTGTTACACTTGACAGCCCCAGAAGGCCCCATTAAAGTCTTACTCAAGTCAATTTTAATTAGATGATTTCTGCTTTTTCCAAATAATGGACTTCTTACATGCTTCCTGCCTTGTTCAGTGACACTGAGGATGAATTAATGATCAGGCTCTTTTTTTTTTGTATTGCCCTCCTTTTCTGTTTGGTCATAAATCATTGCCCTCTTGTTACTAATTTCAAACACGTCCTTTTAATATATTATTTCTTGTCCTAACATTAGACATTTTTACTTGACACAAGCCTTTTTCTTCAACTCCAAAAGGTGTTTTGCACATATGAATTCAGAGGGAGGGTCCTAGATGTCACAAAATGTAAGGAAGTAATTTGCAGAAACAGTCCAGAAGAAAGGATTTTCTCTTCCTCTGGATGTACGCTCACTCTGGAAGAAGGTCGTGAACCATCCATCCATCCATCCATCGTCAACCGCTTATCCTGAGTACAGGGTCGCGGGGGGCTGGAACCAATCCCAGCTGACATCGGGCGAAAGGCATTAATGTGTGTGCTAATTTTACTGCTGTCGATGTTTAAAGTATATTTTTGTTATGTCGCTGTCCGTTGAGAACCATGCATCTCTAGAAAGTCAAGTTTTCATGAGCTCAGACAAAACCGTGCTGTTTTCAGCTGTTCCAGTAGATCCATATAAATAGTGCAATTAGCTTAAGAAGGAGGATAGTTTTCTCAACCCATAAAGGGTTCACCCTTCACTTCACCCATCAGATTATCAGAAAAATCACCACATTTGGAAATACATGGTTTTCAGTGGACAAGGAGGGTGTGAAAAATTGTAATCAGAAAAATATCTAATAACTAAAGCTGTCAGACAAATGTAGACAGTTGAAAATAACAGAAACACTCAAAGAACACTCAAAGTACCTCCAAATTTGTACTTAAGTACAGTACTTGAGTAAATGCATTTAGTTGCATTTAAACCACAGCAGGTAGAAGGTAAACAAAGTGTTGGTGTACAGTACAACAGAAATGTAGACACTCTCACTCAGAAAAAAACATCTCTCCTGAGGGCATGAATGTAAGGACGCAAAACTGTTTGATATCGCTATTATGGGTGAAAGCTGTTTCTTGAGTGGATACACAGGCTTTAATCCAACTTTTTAGCTACATTTATTTGATAATTTTAGATTTAGATAATTAATACAAGATATCTAATAAAATATGATAGATCATACTGATTGTTCTACAAGCAAGACACATTACCAGGATGGCCAACTGTTCCACCAGACAAAACAACTTGCATTTTTCTTGGGTCAAAAGAAACTGTAATTAGCAGGGCTAGTCAACAGCACCATACTTTGCATTCTTGGTCACTGGCATTTAACCCTGAGGAACCACCTAAATATCCATTACATTATGCTTTTATCCAAAGCGACTTCCAATTGCTGTATGTCAGAGGTCGCACGCCCCTGGAGCAACTAGGGGTTAAGTGTCTTGCTCAGGGACACATTGGTGTCTCACAGTGGATTCGAACCCAGGTCTCTCACACCAAAGGCATGTGTCTTATCCAAGGCCATCAGCAACACAGGTCAGTAAAGACTCCCATGAGCGATGGGCGTATATGTGCCCATTGCTACATCATTGCTCAGGCTTTCTACAAAAGAAAGAAATGTCACATTGTCATACATCAGCAGACATGCAGTGAAGACTTGTTGTCCAGGAAGGATGCACAATGCCAGCACCTTCAGGCTATCCAGCTAACATGAGTAGAGCCTGGAGCACACTGAATGAAAAATGAGGCCTCTCTCTCCCTCGTTTCCTATTATCTCTCTGCTACCCCTCAAGTATTTGTTTCTCACAAGCAAGTTGTTCTTTCTGCACTGATGCTATTTTTCCACAGAGAGGTCAGTGTCAGACATCCATTTTTGCTGTTGGACTATAGGTGCTCCAGCTTGCACCGTTGTGTCACTGGTGTCAACAGATTGGCCTTTGGTTCTCCCTCACACGTGTTTCCACTTGGTTTGTCTTCTTTCACCTGTTAGGATGGGAAACCTTAAATGTTTACCATTTGTTTAGCACATGGACCATAATGACCTCACGTAGTACCTGTGTGGGTGTACACAGCTTTTAAAAATACCAGCTCACATGGGAAAGAGGAGGCTAGCACTCATAAAACCTCCAGTACAAGGGGATGCAGGTGAAAGGATTTAGCATTCTTTGCTGTCCAGAATGCAGGTTTTTGACCTGTCTGGTTTCATGTCTAGTTTCCACCACATGGCTGTTAAGCTGATCCTACAGACCCTCCCCTCCAAAGGGACAAAAAACATTTTAAAAACCAGTGTAGAACCCAAAGTGAACAATAGAGGGAGACTCAGAACACTGATTCAATCTATTTCAATTTGCTTCATATTAAATTGCATTCAAGTACAACTATTTAAGTATCTATAATTATAGTATACACACAGTATGATTATAATAAAGTATAATTATTTCAAAGAAGCTACATTTGGCCACACAACTATGACTATTGCACGCACATGCAAAATTATGAATCTAAATTAATATACAAATTACCGTATCAGATAGAAATTTTGGGTTTGTGCTAAATATTGTAAAACCTGTACCAAGTTATGGTGCACCCACACAGGTGTTTTCACTTAATTATGGGACTTAACCAGACTGTCTGGATGTACAGACAGAATCCCTACTCTTCTGTTTGGTTTCTTGCACCTGTTTCATGAGCTCTTGTAATTACCAGCATAACTCTGCCCAACTTCAGACAGCAGAGGTCTGATCAGCTGGACTAGTGAAAACACCTGTGAGGGTGTACATGATTTTGAATGCACTGACAATGTATCAGGCCATTGTTACACAACTTCTACTATAAATGACAATGACATGATTACCAATACCACAATGTTAAAATACTCAATCATAAGT